CTAGTTGTTGTAGTGACATAACTACAATAGTTGGACATATGCTACCGCGGAGTTTTTTGTAGACATTATGATGTTCTTGAATATTGTTGTACATTATTTTGTTCTATCGCTAATAGTTTCGGCAGCGCATTCGACGAAAGATATTTTAAGACTCATTTTTCTACACCTTCGGTTACATTTTACCAAGGACCCCTAATTTTTTTCAAAATAAATTGTCGTTCAAATTTTACCAAGGATCCCTAATTGTTTTCAAAATGAAATGTAGCCTATGTCAAATTGTAAGAATGTAGCATTCTATTGGTGAAAGAATTTTTTAAATCGGCCTAGTTCTTTTGAGCCTATTCATTACAAACATACAAACATACAAAAATAGGTACAAATCTTTCCTCTTTATAATATTGGTATAGACTTCACATATTTTTTTGGTTAAAAGAAGTTAACTCCGTTTTTTAAGGTAATGTTTGTTTATTTGTATAATTATAGGCAGGTACTTATAAATATTGAATTTCTGCCGTTAAAATATCATAGCAGTTTGGTGGGTTTACTTTATATTGTTTTTGTATATTCAAACCAAGTGAAGGACTTTATTATTATTGTCTAATATCTACGCTGTAGCCTAGCTCATGCTAGCTAAAGAGGAGGCGGATCGCGTGAGGGAACGAATCTCTTCACGCCCCAGCCGTCGCGATGGACACTCCGGGCGTCGGGGATCGCGAGACGATCTCCGGCCACCGTAAGCACGGGTGATTCGCCGCCCGATCAGAACCAGATGCAAGCGTACGGCGCGTCGCGTTCCGCGCGCTGCAAGGAGCCATCGGACCTACACAGATGGGGCCCAATAGGGCTGATGCCGAAACGGAGCCACGGAGGGATTATCGAGTTGCCGGGGCTCCGGCCCGAAGTACAGAAGTAGGAACGGGGTTGTTTTTAGTCAGTAAGAGTCTGACACTCCCTCTCGCCGCACCCGGACGGGAGAAGTCATTGGATGATTTTCCCCCTTCAAAAAAAAAGCTGTAGCCTAGATATTAGACAATAATAATAGGTAATCTGTTTGTGGTATTTGCCCGCTGCTAATATCTATTTTATCAAGAACCACTATCCTCGGCTAACATCGATACGGTAAGTTTAACATTGACGACAACTGCATATCACTAACTTCTTAAACCGTGTATTAAATTTATGTTAATAATAAAGTACCTAATTAATTTTCTACATATTTCATCACTATCGAAGATCAGCGTTACAAAAATCCATGAAAAACTTACACAGCTAAATTAAATATTAGATTGTGACTATAAGGAAATCAAAGAAAACCATTAAAATATGTGTCGAGCCATTGTACAATATTCACGGTACATTTGACACGGTTGCTTGTTGATTGTATGCATATTTTGACATAGAAAGGGCATGAGTTGTTGTGGTATTGAATTAAATAATTTCAAGGATGGCTGTGGAGTTTTCATGAGGCTAATCAGGTATACGGCAACAAAGCAAATGTAAACAAATATGCAACGTATAGGATAAAGCTTAAAGACGAAACTGATTTAATCAATATTTAACTATACCTTACAAAAAAGAAGGAGGTTTCAGTTTGACCTGTGTGTATGTTTGTGCGTGATTATCTCGCGATTAGCTAAACCGATTTTGATGCGGTTTTTAGAACAGTGTTTGTTTTGCGAGTTATATGTACTTTCTAAGATTATCTAAACACCACTGATAAACGGTGAAGGAACACATCGGTAGGAAACCTGGACTTATAATAACTTTAATTTCTAATTGTAAGTCTTAAATTGCCAACCCGCATTGAGCAAGCGTAGTGATAAATGCTCAAATCTCCATTGTGCGAGGCCTTTACTCAGCAGTCGCTTATGGATGTGTGATGTGTGAAGCTGAACTAACCGGGAACCATTTGTTCTACAATGGACACCTAAAGGATCATGATGATGAAAAAATTATTTAACTGCCCAGTCGCCAAGCGGTCAACGGTGACCGCTCTCCACTTACTCCATTATAGACCTCATTACCGATGCTTAGAGACTACTTTTGTAACCATACCAATCGGTCGACATCGTATGACGTTGATTGTTTGGTGTGATGGCACTAATCGATCGACGGATACCTATCGACTAACCAATCGATCAAGTGAGGATGTCGTGGTGGCCCGGAGGGTTAAGACGCCCGCTTCTCATGCATGAGAGTGCGGGTTCGAAACATACCAACGGCAAGTACCAATGAGACTTTTTCCGAGTTATATGTACTTTCTAAGATTATTCAGACATCACTGACAAACGGCGAAGGAAAACATCGTAAGGAAACTTGGGCTTATAATTTCTAATTATAAGTTTGTAATCGCCAACCCGCATTGAGCAAGCGTGATGATTAATGCTCAATCCTTCTCCGTGTGAGAAGAGGCTTTGCTCAGCAGTGGGCATTTATAGGCTGTTGATGATGATGATAAACCAATCGATGGATGGTCGGCCGATGATCGTTCGGTCTGGTAGAAACTGTCGATCGACGGCGACTAATCCATTCTACGATCTATGGCATCAATCGATTGGTATGATAAGACCTTCACACGTCCATTGCAGACTAAAGGCTCAGCTTCAACAACAACAATTCATGGGAGATGCAGGCTAGGCTACAAGCTATTGTTATGGCTAACAAGCTTATCATTATTTAAATTATTTGTCATTATTTTCATCGTTAAGCTTTTGTTCTTTATCTTCATTGCCAGTTTCTTGAAGGTAAGGTACCTATCGTTCTGTTTCTATTGTTCCCTATCAGCTAAGCTACTCTGTAGTACCTTACGTTAACTCGATCGTGGCCTGCCATGCCATTGGTTAAGAGAGTAATTTCGACCAATGACGGCCGACAATGCGATTGAGCTCATTTCAAACTTCGAATTGACAGTTAGGTGCGGGACAAATATTAGGTTTTTACTTATGAAAATGCCGCTTTGCAGTACTGGCCACTTAAAGTAAAATAATTTTTGTTTGGCTAAGAATTCCAATTTTAAATTAATTTTATTTTAAAAACATTGATGTTTTTTTCCAAAATAGTCATTTGTTTTGATTAGTGTTACATTTTCATCGCATTTCAATATCTTTGGTCATCATGGATACGTTAAAAATTGGAACAATTATGGAATATGAGTACCGTCTTGGCAGTAACGCGGCACAAGCGGCACGCAACATCAATACCCGAGAGGCAGTACAAAACGGCTTAGAAGAAGTTGTTGCCTCCCGTCCAGCTGATCTCTTTAAGAAGGCCACCAATAAACTACTTTATCGATTTGTATTTTTTCATACAAAACGCAATTTCATAGGTAATAATTTATTTAGCTGGCTTACTAAAATTTTGTTAGCTAGTGATGCTTTCAAGCAATAGGCCTATTGAAAAAAAAATCTAATTTAATATGAATTCGCAATACAACCGCGTCAGCTAAGTGTAAACCGTCTAGGCGGTCAACCGCTAACCGCTAATGCGTCTGGGGGCTTTCTGAATACAATTTTATTTCTTTCCGAGTGAAGAGCATAGACGCAAAATATCAGACGTCATTCGACAAAGACTTACTGTTCACTGTTAATATTACCTACGTAAATGAAGTCAAGTATCACAGACAGCGAAAAACTTCAGAACTACAATCGTATAGAAAACCTTAAAAATGAACGCCTCCACGAACACAAGGATTTCGCTCAATAGCAGTATGGCCGAACATGCGATATACCTAATTCAATATTTAAGACAACGATTTTACTAATCAAGGAATCTAATAATTTTCAAAGTTTCAATAAGCGGGTACTATTCAAACAGAAGATCAACGACCTATGCAATGTAAACAAAGATCACGTGGCCAAAAGTTATTTTTTTAAGGGATAGGTTGCTAGCACATGGGTCTCCTGTACGTAAGTGATTAGCGGTGTCTACGGAAACCTGTAATACCTGAGGCGATATGAGTGTTTCCTTGGGATGCAGTTGTGTCTCTGAGGGCTTAATATCTGCTGCGCTGCTCTGATTGGCTGGTTCCAATGAACCAACCAATCAGAGTGCAAGCATGATGCAAGCAATATCGCATTCGTAATGTAAGAGTATCGAGCGCGTTCGACGCTCTGATTGGCCGACTCCAGTGAACCAACCAATCCAAGAGCCGAACGCGCTCGATATTATTACGTCTACGGAAACCGAATACCTGAGGCGAAATAAGCGTTTCGTTGAGGCAGTTGCGTCTCTGAAGGCTTAGTATGAGTTTATCTTACGTTTAAAGTTATCGAAACGGGACGCGTTCAGCGCTTTCATTGGCAATGATCCAACCAATCAGGGCTTACGCGGTCTTGTCTCGATTATTTTAAACGTAATAGTAATATAAACTTGTACTAAAGGCTCTGGTCACCTCATTCACGCCAGCGTTGTTTCACGCTTTGCCAAAGCGGCTTTGGCCTTGAAACGTAAAAACGTCGAGAGTACCATATTATGCTTTTTGTCTGTTTTTACAAAATTGGTTGATATAGTGTTACTTTTTGTTTTGATACTCTTTTCTATTTACCCGGGTGAATGTATTTTGCTGTGGTTAATTAAATATTTTGTAGGTACTAATAATTTTTAATGGAGCGTGATGAGCTGTCGCTTCTAACCTATACAAGGTTTTTTGGCGGCTTCGTTTCGTTTCGTTTACGTAATACCTAGGTATAGCTAGAAAAAGAAAAACAGTAGAATAGACTGGAAAACAGTAGGAAATACTGAAAAACAGTGAAGTAACCTAAAAATCAGTAGAATAAACTGAAAAACAGAAGAATAATCTGGAAAAATTACTTAGAACATGATTTACATTTATACTTTGCGTTAGTAAAAATCAGAGCAAACACGCAAACACTATAAAGCACACTACACATACAAAAAACGTGAAAGACAAAAAACGACATGGAGTGAAACGAAGATCAAGCTGAACTTGTAACGGGAGATGATGCTGACTCCGCACCAAATGTTAACGCAAATGAAAGTTATGATGATATTGATGGTGCAAGTGGTGCAGATGTTCTTACCTCTGCTAATCTTAATTCAGGTGATTGACTGACTTTTGTAGAAGACACGACTTGAGTCGATGTTTGGACCAAATTATTGTGATCTTGGTCCTCACACGAACAGTCTTCTTTGGAAGACTGACCTGTGCCAGACTTGGCCTTTGATACCGCCGATTCTGCTGGCTTGACATCCAACTTTAAATAACAATTAATTAATGTCCGTTTTTCAAAAAACTTATCTTTATTCGTGTGTTGTGTTTTTGTTCCTAGTATAAAATTTTCGCGGATTAAGAGACCTATGATTACTTTTTGTAATTACTGCTTTACAATTTAGCCTTTGATTAAAGGAGCCATTATTAATGGTGCTATGTTAAAAAGGATTTTATTCGATGCCGTGCACAAAATACCAATATATTGCTACTGTTTTCGTGTAATGATTTTACTGCCTCCTTGCGTTAATCGAACACTACTAACGCAACATTGGCTGTTGCGTTTGCGTAGTACAAGTGATTTTGGCTTCTGGGCACGAAAACAGGCTCACCTCCTTTAACAGGACTCAAGATGGCAGGTGAGAAATAACAGTAAATTTTCTATCCGGCAATGAAAATGCGTGACGTTATGTTTGTTATTTTTATTTTCTGACTCATATTTAGCTTTTAGGACTTCCTAATTTGCCCTGCGGACTCTCCGTCCGCGTACCGGCCCATAGTGCTGCTCGACGAGGTAGGGAAAGTCTTCGAAAGAATTATTTTGATTTCATATGGTGCCTACCTATCTCTGTCGTGTAATCGAGGCCTACCTGACGGATATCTATCCTGGTCACCGGTCACAGGGTTCGGTTTTAGGACCGCTCCTGTGGAACATCGGTTATAACTGGGTGCTGCGCACCGACCTTCCGAGCGGCGTCAGCGTGGTTTGCTCCGCTGACGATACGCTGGTGTTAGCACATGGGAGGTCGCACCAGGCGGCGGACAATTTAATGACAAGAGCGGTTGCGACGGTCGTTGCAAGAATCCGGCAACTGGGACTCGAGGTGGCGCTCCACAAGTCCGAGGCCATGTGCTTTCATGGCCATGGCAATATGCCACCTCCGGGTGAGACCCTAATAACGGCGTGAGGAGTTACCATCGCCATCGAGACGACGTTGAAGTACCTAGGACTTGTCCTCGATAGTCGGTAGAACTTCGTGGAGCACTTCAGACGTTTGGCTCCTAAATTTAACGGACGGAGCGGCGCTTAAGCGCCTCCTACTCAACCTTAGGGGGCCAAACGCCTCCTGTTGGAGGTTGTACGTGGGGATCCGTAAATGGCCCTCTATGGCGCCCATGTGTGGGCGCCGAACCTTATGCGGCGGCCAGCTCGAGGGCTGCTCATATCCCAGAGGGTCATGGCCATTCGGGTGATTCGTGGGTATCGCACGATCTCCGGCGAGGCGGCAAACCTCCGCGCCAGATTAGTACGTGGCGGGATGAGCTCCGGCGCGATCTCATGGTAGAATGGCAGCAACGACTGTCGCAACCGAGGGCTGGGCTCGCTGACATTGCACCGGTAAATCCCCTCTTTGAGGAGTGGCTTGAGAGACGCTACGGCGTCCTCACCTACCACCCGATGCAGGTGCTTACCGCACACGAAGGTTTCGGTAGATTCCTGTTTCGGATTGAGCGGGAGAAAACGCCCGGGTGTCATCACTGCGAAGACCACCCAGAGGACACGGTGGAGCATACAGTGGCGGTGTGCCCTGCTTGGGCTGGGCACCGCCGTGTCCTAAGAGATGTGATCGGCTACGGCGACCTCTCGCGTCCGGCTTTGGTTCTGGCCATGGTGCGGAGCGAGGGAGACTGGGATGCCGTCTCTTCCTTCTGCGAAGCAGTCATGCTAGCCAAAGAGGAGGCGGAGAACGAACAAACCTCCTCACACCCCAGCCGTCGCGGTAGACACTCCGGCTCAAAGAGCCACCAGACCGCCATAGGTGTGGCCCAATAGGGCTGATGCCCGAGCCGCGGAAGGCCTCACGGGTTGCCGGGGCTCCGGCTCGAAGAGCAGGAGTCGGAACGGGGTGGTTTTTAGTCAGTAAGAATCTGACACTGCCTCTCGTCAACCCAAGGCGAGAGAAGTCAATGGATGATTTTCCCCCCTTAAAAAAAGGACTTCCTAGTTTTGTGTTTTCGTTTGGGACGTTACACAAATTTCTTTGAGGGTGTAAAATTACAATGCACTAGTCTTCTTATGTTTCTAATAATATACGATTCTGAGTGAGCTTCCACATCATACTGAGCGCAATTATAGTAGTGCCAGGCGAAGCGCCACATCGCGGCCTAATTGCTGCGGAAATGTTACAAGCTGATTTATCCTCCGTTGTCGAAGCTCGAACTCCTTCTGTTGAGAAGATTTGAACCATGGAAGAACTCCTGGGTGATCGGAACCAACGACTTTTTATTACCAACGAAAAGATCTTAGTATGTGTGACAACTAGTGAGGTCCAGACCTGATACCTCAGGGTATCACATTGCTCTCGGTACCTACTGTGGTGTTATGCAACATCATTCTGCTGACGAAGGTCACAAATCTTCTATTTCGCAGGGAGTAGGCTGGTTTCCGACCGAACCGCTTTGTACGGACAGATCATACTGGAACAGGCACCACCTGCCAGAGTCGAGAAGCGGAGTGCCACCAAAGATTGTCTGTTTGTTGGAGAGCATTTATAGAATATTTCTGTAGAGTAACCCATGTCAGGCTTATTTCGGGTGTGGTGGCTAACAAGCTGTTGTCGTCCTAGTTGTCGCTTCTGTTCCTGTTCGGACTTGACGAAATTATGCTTAGCATCGCAGAAAAACGGCACCTCAGGATAGAATGGGGATCCAACGTCTAAGGAGACTTGGACTATGCCATAGCTCTATGTCTGCTGAGTCATAGCCACGCCGACATGCAAGCAAAGTTGAAAGATCTACAAGAGAAGACCAAGAACAAGAAGACCAAGGATGCCCGATCTCATGATCTCTCGTTTAACAACACCGTTGCTGTTAGGAACAGAGGTAGGAAAGCATCCTTTTCTAAGTTTCCTTATCTCGAGAGCGTCATTTCAGAAGAATTAAGAAACTAACCCAAAGAATTAAGCTCAAAATCTTCGGATACAGTTCCAAATTCGTACTGCTCTATGGGTGCTAGACGTGGAAGGTCACGTAAGACATTTCACGGCAAATCCAAATCGTCGTCAACTGAAACTTGCGCCGCATTTGCATATCCAATGTAGAGCTATTCACAAAATGCAGCAAAAGTTCTATCGACCGTCAGATCAAACTTCGCAAGTGGGGAAGGGACAGGCCATACGCAGGAAATGTACAATCCACGCTGTTGCAAAATTTCTTAACATTCGTGATGATGTATGTTAAAAGTGCGACGACAAGTGGTTATAGCGCTGACAACTTTATATGTTTCAGTTCTCGTCTCTCGAAACTGTTCAATGAAGTCCCAAAATTTTAATCACTTCTAAAGTAATTATACCTACTAGGCTTGTTTTGTAAAGCTTTAGGTTAAATGCTATCTACATCTCGCACTAGCCAAGCAATTAATTCTTCTATTTGCTATTTAACTCTATTAATTAGCAAATATTACGAAATGATCACTTCAGGCAAAGTTTCTTCATGATTTCCATAAACTGACGCTTTAGGTTCTTTACCAAAAACCGTTAAGCTTTAAACTTAAACTTGAAGCTTTGCCTGAAGACACCATATCGTATAACGGTACATTCACTTTACTTAATGAGCTAATATAAACTTACCTGTGGATTTCCCGTTACGACACTTAAGAAAAAAAAACTAAACACTAGGCGCAAAATCATTATGGCGTGTCAGAACTTCAAATAGCGTCTGCAAAATATATCGGAATATACACAGTATATAATTGATTGACATGTCACATTATATACCGTGAAATCGAAAACAATAATTGAATGATTAAACGCAATTCTATTATGTATAATATGAACGACCTGTTTTGCATCTAGTACACAATTGAATGCTATATTAGAATATATATTTTGTATGTTTTCAATGATTTGCCAAATTAGGAAAAGTGGTGTTATACATGTTTTGTTTTTTTAAAGGTTATTGTTAGTCTGTACTGTGATATCAATATAGATCGTTCAGTTTATACTACTTTGAGGTTTATAAGCCGGTACGGGACCGCGTAGTTTGAATTAACGTCTCAACAATACGACATTCTGTTTCATACTGTACCAAGTATTCGGAAAACATAATCTACTTGGTTGAAAACAGAGTCGTATGATTTTCAATTTAGTTTCGATGTTTTGTTTGATTCCTTTTTCAATTAAACAGACACAATAGTGATTGTTGATAAGGTAGAGGTCGGTTGAAACAGAAGACTGGTGGTTTAACACGTTGCAATGCAAAATAGTTTTTAATGCTGAGGTCTGATGATTTAGTTCTGATGAAAAATATGAGTTTACTTATGGACGTAGCACCTGAAGAGTAGTGACAGTAATGGACCCAAAATAGTGCCCTGAGGAACACTTTCGTTAATATCAATTGAATTAATGATTGTATTGGATTTTTTCTTAATGTTTTGTGTGTATCGAATTTATACTAAACTTGTCTGTCTTTTATAGGCAATTTTCATCGAAAAAGTTTAAAGACTTTGTATATATTAGTTAGTTGACAACTTGTAACTCTGTTAAAGGCTTTACTTAATTCTTGTAAGATAAGAACTTTAAGGTTATCTTTTCATTATAAAACTTATAAAATTGAAGCACCTAGTACCTGATGCTACAAACAACACATGCTAATAAAATGTACAATAAAAATAGAAGTCCATTATTATGAATATCTATTTTATGCAGTAATTAAGTAAATATTGTTAAGAGCATATATTAAAACGATTAACCGTGACGTTTGTGTGAATATCTGCGGTGTAATGTATGTGTATGTCGATAGTGATGTACAAACTAATTCAAATAAAATTATTACATGACCAACAATAATTTTTCATACCGAGAAATTATTCTTAAACACAACATTGTAACAACTAACTCACAATTATATCACAATCACAATAATTGTTATAAATAAATCTGACTTGATAACAATGTTTGTTTAATTTATAAAATGGAAAATATAGTTATTATGTATAATGAGTTTTTACAAGAAGTACTATTTATTGATTGTAATTGTGGATGTAATTGTTAAAAATGTAATGATCAACATAGAACTCCTGAATATATGATGATTATTTCAAAATAGGACTTTATAAAAAGTGTAGATTTCATTAAGAGACCAGAAAAAGTCTTTAGTTTTATCAAGTCAGTGCTGATTTCGAAAAACACCAAAACATTTATCTATCGCATATAAAAAAATTAGGTTCATTCTATACAATTAACATTAGGAGAAAGTTTAGCTATTTACAAGCTTTTTTAAATTATGTAAAATAATTAAACTCACCATTTCACACCACTGTTGATTATGGTTTAAATAAGCGTTCACTACCGTCGACAGCAGTTGAAATAGATACTAAAAAATTACGGGTTATTTTGGGATGCATAAAAATACACATGTAGTTGTATAATATAATATTTATTAACCAATTGAAATATATACGAGCATTTTTCATATAAATATATACAAAGTAAAAACAATAAAATAGTATATATATACAATAAAATAATATACATTATATAAGCTCATGTCAGTATATGAAAGCAAAAAATAATTTACATAAAATAAATATAATAAATAGATACTATACATACATAATCACATAATAAAAAAATATATATTATATACATATGCAGTTAAAAATAGTTAATATGGACAAATTCATTATTCCAGCGATCTCCTCAACGTTGGCAATATATCATCATATATATTTTGCAGAATACTAGCTTGTTGGTCGCATCCCTTGTTCGGTGTCGGAAATACAGCACCATTCAATTTCTGGATTAAATCAAATATGACTTCCGTCTTATACCCCTTATGTTTCAAATATAAAATTATCTGTTTCAGCATTTCAGTTTTATTGTCCTGCATTATCACGTTCTCTTGGTCTTCAATAGCGTTTTTGTTAAGTAAGTATTTTTGCAGTATACCTTTCACTGCACCTGCGTCTACTTCGACGTCTACTCCTGCTATGTTCAAAATTAATCTTTCATTCTTTGGGCTATGAAGAACATGTTTAGCCACATAATTTTCTAAATCCACTGCGCAATGTTGACAACCATTATTATTCACCACTTGATGGTTCAAAGGAACAATGTCATGTTGCAGTATATCTTTCTTTCCAAGTATATGTTCCGCTTCTAAGTAATTCTGAACGTATTCTGGAAACTTCCAAGACTCTAAATGCGAAATTATTCTAGGGTCACGGAAAATATTGAGATCGAAATTATTCTTATGCAGTAATAATAATAAATCATGCAGCCATCTCTGGCGAATCAAATGGTAAGCATAAAGTTGCAATGGGTGTCGACTTTGGGGAGGTACGTCATAGAATATTTTTTCATACCAGTCATTTTGTTTACCAAAATAGTCGGCTTGTATCAGCAGTATTTCTAGAACTGTAAGTAAATTATTTAGTGCATTTTGTTCCTGTGAATTAAGTCCAACAGATAGCTTTTGTTTTTTCAGCCCATCTGTCAGTTTCAATAAATTTTGTAAAGTAAACAATTTGTACGTTGGAGCTAGTTCTAAGTTGGGAGTTTGGTAGTAATCGAAGTTTTCAGGCTTCACGTTAGAAATGTCTGCTGGTCGTTTGACTACATTTTCGTAAAGATATTTTTGATCCTCATTTGGATGTTGCTTTGTTACTTCGAGATTCAATTTATAATATTGAGGATTTTGGTGTAGCAACTGCTTTTTCGGGAGATTAAGTAACGTGAAATCGGTTGGAAGATTAATATTATGATCTGGACGTGGTTTTATATCTTGAGGGCCTTTTTGCACATCACTGTAATCCACAGGAGTTTCAGGGGTTACGCCTGAATTTATGTTGAGATTGTAATTTTGAGGTGTATTTGGAACAACATTATCAGAATATATACTGGAGCTGCGATCTTCATAAGTTACAGGAGTGACAATGTCTTTGTTAGTACTGTAAACGGCGTCAGCTTTTGTATTGAGATTGTAATCTTGGGGAGTTTTGGGAGTAACAGCGTTGGTCTCAATATTGTAAGTATATTCATGAGTAACTTCTGGATTAACGATATCAGGATTTACATTAAGTTGGTAATCTTGAAGATTGTGTGGAATCACTCCGGAGTAAACATTATTATTGTCTTCTTTGGGAGCTTCATGAGTAGGAATTTGAGATTTTACTTTGTAAACGTATTCATGTGAAACTTTCGGATTGTTGGATCCAGAGATCAGATTAAGGGTGTAACTTTGGGGATTTTGCGAAATAACATAAGGTTCAATAATAAGACTCTCATCTAGGGGAGTTTTAGGAGTATCCACGTTATTATCAATGCTATAGGTTACCTCATGGGTAATTTTTGGATCAACTTTGCCAGGGATTAAGTTGAGGCTATAATCATGGGGAGTTTTAGGAGTTACAACATTAGTCTCTATATATTCATATGTAATTTTAGGATCAGTACTGCCTTGGTTTGTTGGCAATGGCTGGTGATCTTGAGGATTTTGTGAAATGACATCAGAGTAAACTTTATGAATTTCATTTTGTGCCGTTTTAGGAGCAACATCAGATTCAATATTGTAACTGTATTTTTGTAAAGTTTCAGGGACAACAGTATTAGGACTTGTACCAATATTATGTTGCAGTTCGTAGGTAATTGGCTTGTTTACATGCACAGTTCCTGTGGGATTACTAACCGCAGATAATTTATAAATATTGTCTATACCTGGTTCAAGCTTAGTACTGTACTTTGTAGATTTTACATTTAAAATATTGTCTAGGTCTGATTTTTCATGTGAAACTGGAGATGCTTCAACAGCTGGGGGATGAACCACATACGTGTACACATGATAAGGTTGTTTGCTTGTCTTTTTAATTGTATAATCCTGTTTAGAACTAGTAGTGGGACTTTGACTTAATGTTGGCAATTGGCTAATGTGCCATGGCCCAGTACCAACAATTTCATCCCCAGAAGTCCAGGGAATGTTATTGTATATTTTCTTTTTAACAATATAATTAGTGTCTCCAAGTTTATCTTCAATGATCAATGGTAAATTGTAGCTAGTTTTCTTTTTAATGGTCCATGGCTGATTAGTACCCCATTTACCTTCAAGAGTTGAAAGAATGTCTTCTTTTATTCTGTCTTCAATAGTTCCAGGTAAATTGTAATCAATTGTTTTGTCAGTCAATGGTAAATGTTTAATAGTCGAAAGAATATCCTTTTTGATTTTTTCTTCTATAGTCACAAGATCATCTTTAACCGTTTCAACGATTGTCTCGGGATAATCGTTGTCCGTTTTATCGTTGTTTAGCCAGGGCATATTATTTTTATCCCTTATGTTTACCACATAAGGAAAATTATTGTCAGTTTTATCTTCAATTTGCGAAGGTATTTCATTTTTAAGCTTATCAGCGATGTTGAGATCATCGTTGTCCATTGCATCTTCAATATGCTTGGGTATATCATTGTTAACCCTTTCGTCAGTCTCGGAGGGAACATTATCTTCCGTTGTATCTTGAATATATGAGGGTATATAATTTTCAACCTCTTCAACGATAGTCCTGCGATCATCGTTGTCCGTTATATCTTCAATTTGCAAGGGTAGATAACTTTTATCCTCTTCAACGATAGTCTCGCGATCATCGTTGTCCGTTTTATCTTCAATTTGCAAAGGTAGATCATTTTTAACCTCTTGAACGATAGTCTCGCGACCATCGTTGACCGTTTTGTCTTCAATTTGCAAAGGTAGATCATTTTTAACCTCTTGAACGATAGTCTCGCGACCATCGTTGACCGTTTTATCTTCAATTTGCAAAGGTAGATCATTTTTAACCTCTTGAACGATAGTCTCGCGACCATCGTTGACCGTTTTGTCTTCAATTTGCAAAGGTAGATCATTTTTAACCTCTTGAACGATAGTCTCGCGACCATCGTTGACCGTTTTATCTTCAATTTGCAAAGGTAGATCATTTTTAACCTCTTGAACGATAGTCTCGCGACCATCGTTGACCGTTTTGTCTTCAATTTGCAAAGGTAGATCATTTTTAACCTCTTGAACGATAGTCTCGCGACCATCGTTGACCGTTTTATCTTCAATTTGCAAAGGTAGATCATTTTTAACCTCTTGAACGATAGTCTCGCGACCATCGTTGACCGTTTTGTCTTCAATTTGCAAAGGTAGATCATTTTTAACCTCTTGAACAATAGTCTCGCGACCATCGTTGTCCGTTTTATCTTCAATATTCGAGGGTAGATAATTTTCATCCCTTTCAACTATAGTCTCACGATCACCGTTGTCCGTTTCATCTTCAATGTGCCAAGGTAGGCCACTTTTAATTTTTTCGAGGATAGTCCAGGGAATATCGTTGTGTTTTTTATCTTCAGTGTACTCGGGTATATAATTAACCTTTTCAACTATTTTCAAGGGAACATCGTTTTGTTTTTTATATTCGATGTGCCCGGGTAGATAACTTTTAATCCTTTGGACAACAGTCCAGGGAATGTTGTTGTGTATTTTATCTTCAGTGTTCCAGGGTAAACCATTTTTAATCCTTTCGACAGTAGTCCAGAGACCACTGTTCGTTGTATCTTCAGTGTGCCTGGGTATATAATTTTCAAACATTTGTTTAATTTGCAAGGGAATGTCGTTGTCCTTTTTATCGTCAGTGTGCCAGGGTAGATCACTTTCAATTCTTTTAACGATAGTCCAGCGACCATCATTGTCCTTTTTATCTCCAATCTGCCATGGTATACCATTTTTAATCCTTTCGAGGATAATCCAGGGATCATCATTGTCTTTTTTATAAACCCGTTTCTTGATAATCCAAGGAACATCCTTAATTGTTTTATCTTCTTTAGTCCAGACTATACCATTCCCCATTTTACTTACAATACTCCACGGATCAGTGTATTCTCCATTAATTCTTGATCGTAAATTACTTGTCTCTCCAGTTTCTAGAGGTAAATCAGTAGCATCAAGATTAGTTAGTTCCATTCCTTCAAGATTTGGATGTTGAAGGCTTCTGGAATTGTTTTCATTTGTAATTGTTTGATCATCAAGAGCATAAACAATAGGTTCAACATTTTCGACATCTTCTTTCACTACGTACAAGTTAGATCCAGTCAATACTCCTTCGTTTATATTTGTATTGCTGTCACCAGTTAATATTGTTGTACCTGAAAGGGAATCTGCCGTGATCGCACTATCATCAACCACTTGTTGTGAAATAGAGTCAGAAGAAGTTGCATTATCAACATTATCACCTGATCTTACTATTTCACTTACTATTACTCCACCACCTTCTAGTTTGTGATCGTCGGATGCTACTCGGAGACTTGTTTCTAAAACAAAATCATTTTAATTAACAAACAACAAACAAACAAACAACAAACAAAGTTTGTTGTTTGTTTTTTTTTTTTTTTATTTACTAATTAAAACAACAAACTAATTAAAACAACAAACATAGTTTGTTGTTTTAATTAGTTTTTTTTATTTAAATTTTAAATTTAAGTAGTTTAATTATTTTAATTAGTTTAAGTAAAAGTCTATCAAGAATTTTTCCTTATTTATTCTGTTTGCCTACGATTGCTTTTTAAAATATCTGTGTTTTGGCATGTTGGCCTTTATACAAAATTAATAGAATGATTCGGGTATTTTTAGAAATAATCAAATTCTATTATCCTAATTTAAACTGTCAAACACCATCGGTCACCGGTGACCGCAACCTATTGTTCTATAATTGTGTCTATAATGACGGTACTCGACGAGTTAACAAGTGTATCAGATTTCCTTATTTACATATTGTTTTTAAAATGTTCATCAATCTCACCAGCGTCCATATTGTCATTGTCTACAGTTGTTTCAGTTAACGTTTGATCATGAGTTTCTTCTTCACCTGCACGAGTAGGATTCCAACTGACACTACTATTCATAGATAGTGTTGTTCTAGCGGGTTGAACTAGTAGATGACTTAAGTCACTAAGATCTGTCTCATTCATGACGTTTGATTTCTGAAAGGAAAAAAATAAACGTTAACACATACGCGAGAATAAATGTTAAAATTACTGTTCACATTTTAAGATGGGGAATCACAGCGTACGTGCTTGTTGCCTTTTGCAACAAATTTCAGTCATTAATTTCATCTAGCTTATACATATTAGTAATAGTTAGATGACTATTTTAAGATAAGATGTAGATAGACTGCCTCGTTGGCCGAGTGGTCGCAAATGCGACTGCCGGGCAAGGGGTTTCGGGTTCGATTCCCGGGTAGGGAAAAGTATTACTGGGATTTTAAAAATTTCAGTAGTAGTATGGAGTATGGAAATGTGCCCGGTATATGGCAATAGGCTCACCCCCTGTTACATGGGACTTATAACATAAATTGTGAAAAGTGGGTGTTACATTGTACAGTGGCATTAAGTGTCGTAATGTGAACCTCTGCCTACCCTTTCCGGGATAAAAAGGCGTGATGTTATGTAGATGCTATTAGACAACAGATATACCCACTGTTAAGACTGTAGTAACAGTTGTTCTTAATAAATTTGTTGTCGACGACGCATCATCTGCATTAGTATCTTTGTATGCATCTATTGACGATCCTTCATCTTCGACCCTCTCTAGTAAATCTTCAGTCGTCGAGTCCTCGGTCTCAGAGGTCTCAGATGACCCAAGATCTGAACGCAAAGCTTTGACTGTAGTTCCTTCACCAAAATCTTCAGGTACAACGTAAAATCTTGATATTGTGTGGGTGACTCCTTTGTCTTTAATCACGTTACGTTCACCTGGTATTAGTTTTAGTGGTACGGCATCCTGGAATTAATTTTATTTGTTAATATTACATAAATACTATATCTATGGTTAATATCTTCGTATATTATCTTAAATTGGTCGATCAAATTTTTGAAACTGTGTGTTTTATATGATAGGGCTGCAAACTAGTTAATGTAACACCTCATGGTAAGTAATTGGCGCCGGCTATGGACAGTTGCAATACCAAAAGACTATTTTTTTAAGGGGGGAAAATCATCAAATGGCTGCTGCCGTCTGGGTGAGGCGGGAGGGAGTGTCAGACTCTTACTGACTAAAAACCACCCAGTTCCTTCTCCTGCACGTCGAGCCGGAGTCCCGGTAACCCGTTAGGTTCTCCGCGACTATACCAGAAGACTTAAAAGTGTGTTGTCAGGCGTCTGAGGATGTGAGGATTAGGTCTACCACTTCACTCAGACGGCGAAACATAATGGCAGACTTGTTTCTGTAAATGGTTGTTGTGCGTTCATGGGTCGTCGCGTTCCATGCGCGCCTCGAAGAGCCATCAGATCACCACAGATGGGACTCAGCAGAGCCATTAGACCACCACAGATGGGGCCCCGTAGGGCTGATGCCGATCTGAAGCTGCGGCCAATTTAATGGGTTACCAGGGGACCAGTTCAAAGCAGGAGAAGGAATGGGGTGGATTTTAGTCAGTAAGAGCCTGACACTCCCTCTCGCCTCACCGAAGTTGGGAGAAGAAATTGAATGACTTTGCCCTTAAAAAAATGTAAAAACGTGTTTTCTAAGAAATACGTTTTTGCACTATATTTCCTGCGTAATATGGCTGTCAAGTTAGAGAGACTGGTCACGCTGATCGAAATTGATTAGTTCCAGTCTAATATTATAGTTAAAAGTATACTACCTACCTAGAGGTATAATGATGCTAAGGAACAATGAACGTTATGAGTCACTTTTAAGGTTTATATTTGCAAATCAAGATAAATAAGACATGAAAAACCTGAACATCAAGCTTAGGGTATCTATGACATGCTATTGGAAATGTCTATGGTCTAAATATTAAAAGAAATATTTCACGTGGAAGTGTCATGTTTCGACACAAATGGATTCCACTCTACCGAATTGGTACCATGGCTTCACAAACAACCGGGTCGAATTGAAGGGTGTGAAACGACGCTGGCGTTGTGTTCTGCCGTGTGAGTGAGATTACCGGAGGTACAAACCTGTACCAATCTTCAAAAAGTCAGCAATGAACTTGTTGCACAACACCAGAAGACGGGTTATAAATCTCCATGGGCGGCACCGATTGCTTACTATCAGGTGATTTGACGTGCACTAGGAGCAGGTCTATTAGAGGACTTGGTGCCCTGGATGAGCTGAGCTGATGATGCTACCGGAACGGTTCCAGTGAGGTAAGAATACCAGATTTCCTAGTTTTTCTCCCCAAGAAAGCTAGGCGCCTTGCAAAGGTTCCCCGTCATTAAAAAAAGTGTATGACCAAAAAAGGGGCTAATGATCTTGATGTTGATGATTAAATAGGAATACAAATTTAACTAAAATTGCAGGTTACTCACGTGAATTTACTGAGAAAAGCTCTACTAGTTTCGAACCACAGAGGGGTTCTTCCTCATGAGAAGCGTGCGCGGTCACACACAGAGTGAGCTGCGCGACATCGCCGCGACCGCGCATGCTTCTCAACTATTAGAGCTTTTCTAAGTATATTCACGTGAGTAACCCGCGATTTTAGTTAAGTTTGTATTCCTATCTAATCATCAACATCAAGGTCATTAGCCCCTTGTTTGTCATATATTTTGTTTCTCACGATGGTTATATAGAATAAAAACTTACCGAAAACACAAGAAGAAATAGATAAACACATAATTTAATAATTATATTCTTCATAGTGAAGTCGTATGTTATGCCTAAACATTAGGTCCTCGTGGAGTGAGTTCCTAACAAGTTGTAGACATCATTATGGCCTATTTATTTAGAAAACGTTGTAATTTACACATTTATTTGGAGCGTGTCTTTGACAAAGATTATAATGGTAGATGAGACAGCATACACAACAGAAAAATAAATCAACAAAAACATCGTAGTGAGGTTACTGAAGCCCAAATCTTCCCCTCCCCAATCCTCAAAGTCTTAATCACCACACGTATGCACTTAGGTATAACTCCACTGATTTTTTTTGACGTGACAACGTCTTAAATTAGGTTGCGGCTGGGAGTCACTTATGAAAAAGTGTAACTCTCTGTAATGTTATGATGAGTCACCGAACGAGAGAGAGGCCCGCCGAATGCCTTGCGTCTCTCTCCCACTCAACTATGATCGGTCTGCCGCGCGCGCAGCACTAGTTCATTCAATTCCTTGTTCCTATTGTGCAATTTAATTATATTCATATCAATAAATATTCTTTCGAGAAAAAGATGTTGTCACGTAAAATCTTCTCCCGTAAAAACGACTTTACAGGCAACCATTTTTTGTGCGTGTTTGCGGACGACGGGCAAGGATAGCTCGCCGCCCGACCAGTACTCTAAGAGCCATCAGACCACCACAGATGAGGCTCCGTAGGGCTGAGGCCGATAAGTAGCCGCGGAAGTCCTAACGGGTTGCCGGGGCTCCGGCTCGGAACGGGGTGGTTTTTAGTCAGTAAGAGCCTGACACCCAAGGCGGGAGAAGTGATTGGATGACTTTCGCCCCTCAAAAATAAATTACTGATTTTTGGGTGTCCATGGGTGGCACCGATTGCTTACCATCAGGTGATCCGTCTGCTCGTTAGCCGGCGACATATAGGTACCTACCAGGTTACCATAAAATAAAAACAATAATAGAAAGACTTGTAGGCACTACTTTCTGAGTTACAGGTATGCTTTATTTTTTATTCTTTGACATTTATCGCATCTCTAATGATCAGTTTGTTAATCCGATAAATTGGTAGTTTATTAGATAATTGGTAGCAAGCACAATAAATCGTTGTTTGGACGATAATGATATAGAAATAATGAGCCTGATTTGTTACAAAAGGCAATAACACGTGCTGAAATTATCTGCATAGTAAAATTGGGTGTATTAACTTTCTATACGTCGTTTTTAGATGTTCTTTACTAGTTTAAAATACCTAATTTCAAGGCTCAATAAGTATTACTGATTACTTTTCTTCGCCCGGGAATGAGATCAAAGTGTGGGGCGTGCCTATGGTAAACTTTTATCTTATGAGGATCAACTACATCATCAACTATATGTAGGTATCATCATCATCATTATCAACAGCCTATAGGCTATAAGTATCCACTGCTGACCAAAGGCCTCTTCTCGCACGAAGAAGGTTCGAACATTAATCACCACGCTTGCTCAATGCGGGTTTTCGATTTCAAACTTATAATTGGAAATTATAAGTCCAGGTTTCCTGACGATGTTTTCCTTCACAGTTTGTCAGTGGTGTCTAAATAATCTTAAAAAGTACATAGCATGTACACTCGGAAATAGTTACGTTGGTACTTGTCAACAGTACAGTACAAAAAATAATACCACTATAGTTAATCAAGTACTGTTTACGGCTTACTCACGTAAATGTTTGACGAGGACCTCGACTAGTTTCAAGCCATGCTAGAGGCTCATATACAATCATAATAATTAATTTACTATATCTTAAAGTTATAATAAAACACTAAAATAGTAAATAACAATATAATTATATTCATTGATAATAATTGCACGTATGAACCAATAGATAACAAATAAAATACAAAAATTATCCTTATAATTATCAATCACATTTCTCCATTGCCCAGCGCTGAGCAAGTTTGCTTTACAATTCTTACAAAAATTTACATTTCAACTTTTGATCAACAATTAAATAGGGCAGTTGACACATAACATAACATAACATCACGCCTTCTATCCCCGAAAGGGTAGGCAGAGGTGTACATTATGCCACTGTACAATATAACACCCACTTTTCACTATTTATGTTATGAGTCCCATGTAATAGGGGGTGAGCCTATTGCCATATACCGGGCACAATTCCAGACTTCGTGCTACTACTGAGAATTTATAAAAACCCAGTAGTACTTTGCCCGACCCTGGAATCGAACCCGAGACCCCTTGACCGGCAGTCGCACTTGCGACTACTCGGCCAACGAAGCAGTAGGGCAGTTGACAGAGAATGAAAATTCAATATCTATTTAGTATTTGCGTCCGTCTGCTAAATAATTAAAAAATATTAGACATGTATTATTTAATTTCGACATAATTATAAGGAAACAATACTTAGATAAAACGAATTTAAGTTTAGGAGTGGGAGCTACGTCAGGGCACCCTATAAATTGTAGTGTATTGTGACGTCACACGATATTTTATATCGTGGAAATATATTATTCTGTAAAAAAGAATATCGCGTATGATATTTGATATTAATCTACCAGACGGATATAAAAACAAAAATTGGGAAACTATCTAAGTTTCATTTATAATAACTTACAATTCCTTGAGAAAATAATGATAGTTCATTCATTTAAACAAAATACATAATTCAAGATTACATTCTTATTTATAGACATGTGATGACAGTATAGTTGAAAACATTTTATCACCATCCCGGCTCTTACAGTGGGTATACAGACCCGACTAAGGGACAATACGTCTTACAGAGACCAGGCAGCAATGATCTCTGATAAACCCGAACCTTTGAAACTCAGTATTTTTAACGTGAAAAACTGTGCCTGAATAAGACCACTGAACATGGAAGTTCACGTCCTAATTCATAGATGGCGTTATGTTCAAAAGTATGGACTTGTAAATTGAGAAATGCTGTTTAATATTTTGTTATCATGCACATGACAGTAAAGTATTATTATTGGTAAATAATGTAGAATTAGGCTTCAGAAGGGAACTGCTTATAACCCAATAGGGATTGGCAGAAGTGGTGCTTTTAGAATACACATATTCCAGCCGGCATTTTCAAAAAAAAAAACATAGTTCTTTACTATATAAATATTACAAAAACCCAATGAATACCTATTGGTTGTTTGGTTAAATATTACATAATCAGTCATATAGAATCTATATATATTTCTGCTCAATATTAGAGCTATTTATACAAACAATTCCATATTATATGTATCATAATATGTATACATATGTTCCTTAATTATACATTTTAGTTCAGTGTATGGTTCAAATTAATTGATTTCGATTGACATTATATAAAAACTGTGTTTTATAATTAATTACATTTTAAAGATGTTTTCGTTAAAAACAATTATTCTACATAATATTATAAATTATTAGAAAATTAGAAATGATTATAAACAATGTTTTTAATAATAATAACAATAGTGTGTGTATGTGTGTGTGTCCGTGCGCGTGTATGTGCTGTATTCCTAATTTTCTACATAACTAAGTAATTGAACCATACACTGTACCAAACATGGTGATAATGACGGTGATTAGTAATTCTGGTGTTAAACAACATTGCTGGCAAAGATCTCGATCCAGTAGCCGTCAGGATCCTGGATGAAGGCCAGCCCCTTCATCTTACCATCATTTGGACGCTTGATGAACTTCACGCCTTGCTGTTCAAACCTAGAACAGATTATTTTTATATTTATTAACTGACTCTTTTATTTTTTAAGGCGGGAAAATGATCGAATGCCTGCTCCCGCCTGGGTGAGGCGGGAGGGAGTGTCAGACTCTTACTGACTAAAAACCACCCCGTTCCTTCTCCTGCACGTCGAGCCGGAGCCCCGGTTACCCGTTAGGTTCTTCGCGACATTTATTAACTGACTAGCTTTTACCCGCGCTTCGCTCGCCAATACACACAGCGCCATCTATACCAATAATTTCGTTTTACCTCGAGAATATCAAATTTTTCCGGGATAAAAAGTACCCTATTATTTATTTCAGACTTCTAACTGTACATCTGCAAAAATTCAAAGCAATCGCTTTAGTAGTTACGGCGTCAAAGCGGAACAAACAAACTCACTTTCCGATTTATAATATTAGTAAGGATTTATGTGGCCGTGGTGGCCTTGAGGTTTAAGTCGCCAGCTTTTCATTGCTTGAGGGTTCGAAACCTACCAACGGCAAGTACCAATGTGACTGTTCCTGAGTAATATGGTACTTTCTAAAATAATTTAGACACCACTGACAAACGGTGAAGGAAAACATCGTGAGGAAACTTGAGCTTATAATTTCTAATTATAAGTTTGAAATCGCCAACCCGCAATGAGCAAGCGTGGTGATTAATGCTCAAACCTCGTGGGAGAAGAGGCTTTGCTCAGCACTGGACATTATAACCAAAGGCTGATGATGAATTGGCTTATATACAAAACTTTTTGCTTCGTACAGCAAAATTGTGGAATTAAATATCGCTGGCGATATTTCCGAACGGATACGACTGTCAACAAAATAATGTATTTTTTTTAAAAGGGTGACAACGCACTTGTATCTTCTCTGGTGTCTATGGGTGGCGTTCATCGCTTACCATCAGGTGATTTGTATGTTCGTTTATCTCAATATTCCATAAAAAATGTGGTTCGCGAGTAAAGGTATTATTTAGTTTTATGATTGTGTTAATAAATTAAGGCCAATGATTAACCTTTTGAACGCCAGAGCAAAAACGCATGAACTTGCCCTCAACGCCAGGCCACAAATTCACCGCAAATACCTACGAAAAAAATAGGGATTCCAAAACTTCATCGATAATCAATTTTATTTTCATTTTCGTCTTTAATTTCGAAATATAATGTCCTTATAACATTGAAATTTAATTCAACATTACATTTCTTCCTATTAAAGTAATAGTTATACACTATTTACAGACTTGTATAATACCGTAATAACAGATATGAGACTACAATATATTTAAATATAATAACTGTAGGTACAACACTGCTGTCTTCATATTGTGACCATGGCGTGGACGGCCCGCCATTTTAATAACTACTTCGCTTCCGAAATAAGGATGTGGCAACGTAATATCTCGTTTATCGATGTTCTAGTACAATATTATTTTATAATAAATGAAACACGTTTTTTAAATCAGATTTATAATTCCGAATGTAACAGGTACTTAAAAATATATGATTGAAATAGGTTAAGAAGGTAAATAAAAACTATGAAAAAATAGAAAATTTTAATAAAATGTTATACAGTATGTACTATGTATACATGTTTTTAAATATTAAGTTCTATAAACCTGGCATAAAAAGTAACAAATTAAAACAATTAACGATTATATATAATTATCACAATTACCAATCAGTCTTATACTAATAAATCTTTTGAATAATAGAGCAAAATTATACAAAATCTACAATGCAACCTGCATTCTGAACTCTGAACTCGATATCACAAGTAAATTAATCATAAATATTATTCATTCACTTCACTAATTTCTGGTCGCCGCGCTTGTGACGTCACGATATTGTCGTCTAGTCGTGACCATGGCGTACAGGGTACTGATAATTCGGGTTGCGTTAGGGATGCGCTCGAGTTGGGATTAGTGAATATCGAAATTCGACCCAACCAAATTTTATTTTTGACTATGTAGCTTATTGAATGATTTTTAAGACTGGTTTTATAAAATTAATGCTGCTTTATCCTAGTACCAAATTATACCTAAAATAATATATTCCAGAGGAAAGTTTCGCATCGATCTTTGATTTAAAATAATGATATTATCCAACATGCGCTACATCACTAGCGGTCACGCATTTATGACTCTGGCGTGTGAGGACATTCTTTTTTCAGAGTTTATTTCTTTCTTTTTAACGTAAAATTTCTCAATATTTATAATGCAATTTAATTAGTTTTATGGAAATAAATAAATTTTGGACCTTCTATTTTACAGGTATATAAATAAATAGGCATTAAAGTAATGTTTAAATAGTTTATTTCGTGTTTTAATGTACCGCTGTTTTTGTCACATATTTGTGTCGTTGGCGCTCAGGGACAGTTTTCGCTTGTCACGTATTTGTGACAATGGCGCTCAAAAGGTTAATAATAAAATAATGCTTATCTTAGAAATAAATACGCATAATGTTTCCTGCCTAAAATGTTGCTGATTCACATAATTTTTTTGAATGAATCGAAAAAAATCCAAAGATAAAGATACAAAATACAATCTGATTAAAATCAAATAAATCCGATTATTTTCAAGTAATCAGTAATAATATTTATCAACACTACCCCGTGTTGATAAGTTACTAAATGAATTTGACACAATCATTATTACGATTGGCCGTGAGTGGCTCAATGTAGTTGTAATCTCTAATCTCTACTACTGAGCATGAGATCTCAGATTTTATTCATCAACAATATATGACAATTTGTTACCAGTCTATGGGTATTTTCTTCATAAGAGGAATTGCCAATATCTCTACGATTAGCGAGCAGATTAGAGAGCGCAATTGAAAAGGTTAAAGTACTATTCAGAGATATCTTCTACCCGATCTCTGTATAGTATATAAATATATAGTCCCTACGGGCTAAATTATTAACCGATTTGAATTTTAATAAATCTACATTTTTTATAGAAATTCCATCTAACTAGTCAAAATTCCGATATATCTCGTCGTGTGAGTGAGGTTACCGTAGGCCCAATTACACCTCCCCCCTCTTCTCCAATACCTGAATCTCCTCAATCCTCAAATTCCTAATCCACAAAAGGTCGGTAACGCACTTGTAACGCCTCTGGTGTTTCGGGTGTTAATAGACGGGCGGCGCTGATTGCTTACCATCAGGTGATACGTCCGCTTGTTTACCGGTGTATCCCATAATAAAAAATGTATCCCGAAGATGTAGGAATCACATCGATTATTAATTTCAGCCTTTTTCAACTCTTAGGATATCAACAGTAGGAATAGAGATGGTTAAAATTATACTCTGTCACACATGGCTCGTATTACAATGCCAATTAGGTCTATATTTACCTGGCACAAGCTTCGTCCACATTCCTTACTAGTATACCGATGTGACCAAATCCTCTGGGATCTGAGTTACCGTTGTGGTAGCTGGAGTCATCACTCTCTGTGCCCCAGTTACTGGAAAATATTAATAAAAATGATCAATACATTGTGTAAAATAAGTAGCTATGAAATAGTTTGTGTACTTATAATAAGTATAGATGATACAAGAGTAGAATGCATTTTTCACCATCCTTACTATTCTCCTGGGTGTTGTAAGTTTGTAAGATCGGATTAAGGGATTACACATTTACTCAGAGGCTGGGCAGCAGTGTTCTCTGATACAGGCCTGATACAACCTAGGCCAGGTAGTTTCTACTTGTTGATTGATCGGTAAAGTCAAAGCATTTATTTAAATTAATCTTTAATTAGGCACTTTTGAAATGTCAATAATTGGAGAAGAACGAGCAAGAAACTCCATAACGTTGAAGAATGAGCAAGAAACTCCTTAATGTAGAAAAACGATCAACAATCAAGAAACTCCATAACGGAGAAGAACAAGCAAGAAAAGTAAGGTACCTACTGTACGATCCGTACAGGGAATCTGCTTCATCATGTATAATCTCTAGGTAAAAAACAATGTTTTGGGTCTCAGGCAAAGCCATAGTTTTTCGGAAACCCAACAATATAATCCAATTGTACCTGGAGAAATGTGAGATTTTCATGTAAAAATGTCCATAATATTATTCCTCCTCATCAAAAAGCCGTGACACTATAATCTACTTTTTTATTCCCTTATAATTAGGGATTTAATAATTTATCTTTATCTATTAACATAAGACAATCGCACCTTCTTATTGGGTCCTTGCCAACTAGTGAAATTCAATAGTTTTTTCGAACTGTCAAAACGATAGTTTTCTATGAACTTTGTACGACATAGGGTATTGTGACGTCACCTTTCACTAGCGTCAAAGAGCATACTTATTACTGAAAAATTTGCTACTGAAAAATCAATGAATGAAAGTATGATTATTTTTTTTATATTTTATTACATTGAACAGTCGAAATAATTTATTTTTGATTAAGGAAAGTACCAAATTCAGTATTACTACTAACTGCTGCTAATAAATACTTTTTATAGAAAGAAAACATCATTCACCATAGGTACTCACTATGTCAACTCCAAAGTAGCCTTTCTGGTCATAGCCCAAGCAGTCCTAGTGGCCTCATCGGACGGTATCTCAGCAGGGTTCTCATACCCCATGAAGAACAATGAGAACTTCATCTCCGGGAAGTGAAGCTGCTTGAGTAGACTCATGCCAAGCACTCCGGTGTAGAAGGGGATGGATTTGCGAGGGTCCTTGATACGGTACATAGTTTGTTGGAACATGAAGTCCTGGAAATTGAGAAGAAGCAGATTTAGTATATTTTATTGTAATTTTTCTGGTGTTGCGATGCCCCTGATTGATTACCATCAGGTAATCTGTCTGCTCTTATGTCCTGTAGTCTATACATAAAGGTTTTCAGTGGTGTTAAATTAAATCTTAGATAAGTATGGTTGATTCGTTGGTTGGCTGACTGGCCGGTGCAACATATCAAGATTTCAATTGTAAATTCTCATCAACAGCCTATAAGTGCCCACTGCTGAACAAAGCCTTTTCTCACACGGAGAAGGTTTTTCTCATACGGAGAAGGTTTGAGCATTAATCGCTTGCTCAATGCGGGTTGGCGATTACAAACTTATAATTAGAAATTATAAGCCCAGCTTTCCTCACAATGTTTTCCTTCACAGTTTGTTATCGGTGTCTAAATATTCTTAGAAAGTGCATATCACTCGGAATGTTAAAAAAAGTATCTATGTAATTCTTCATACATACATAACCTCATGCCTGTTTTGGGGGTATGCAGAGACTGTTAATTCTATGTATGATCATGATCCATAAAATTGTTTTACACTATTTAGATGTGGTAGGTGTTGGTTAGTGTTTTATTAACAGATCCATAGGATGGGACAAATCAAAGTAAAGAGTAATATTCTACTTTTAACAATAGCTGTATAAGCTACATTATTACAAAGAAAGGTCAATAACTAACAATGTGTATTACCATAACATTACATTATACAATATGTCTTTTATCAACAAGTCACCTCGTCTATCTTAATCCCATTGTCACAATGTGCGAGTGTTTTGTTAAATATAGGCATGATTTCCTGTGACAGGACTACTTATTGGCTATATGACGGTTTTGCCTGCAATGGATAAAGAAAAATATTTGCTACTTGTCATACAATCCAGTTATGGAAGCTGACAATTTCCAAACAAAATTGATATCATAACACCTTCTTTTGCTTCTTTCGCTTTGAGGAACTTTAGTTTTAAGGATTTTTTTAAAATTTGTTGGGGCCATCAAGCACATAGATCGCCTGTTGGTAAGCAATTGTTGTAAATATTAATTACTAGTTACTTGTTAAACCTAGCAATTCTTTTAATGCCTCAACAGCCACAACAAGCATTTGTATGGTTACAATAACGGACATTGTGTCTCTATAAGATAAAAATATGATTGTTACAGCAAAATGTCACAGCTCACAGGTCAAGAGATGATAACAAAATGAAGTACTATGTATTATTACATGACAACAGATACTTTATGTAATAAATTTTATGTTAAAATAATCAATATTTCATAAGGAATTATTTTCCATTGTTATCATTTTACATAACATCACGCCTTTTATCCCCGAAGGGATAGGCAGAGGTGCACATTTTCACTATTTATGTTATGAGTCCCATGTAATAGGGGGAGAGCCTATTGCTATACACTGGGCGCAATTTCAGACTCCATGCTACTACTGAGAACTTTAAAAAACATCTAGTAATATTTTGCTTGACCTGGGAATCAAACCCAAGACCTCTTTCCTGACAGTCACACTTGCGACTCAGCCAATGAGACAGTTTTCAATCTATTATTCTTAATTCTTACATACTAGCTATTTCATACAAACTTCACTAAATGAAAATGTTACTGACTAGTATAAAATCTATATTAGGTATAATATTATTATACTTTTTAACTTTCATGATACTTAGAAAGTTTAATCATAAATACTTGAATAGTTTTAACCTTGGGAACACCTGGTACTTTGTAAAACTTATATTCTTAGAACTGAAGTATACAGCACTGTAAATATTTAATTTCTTATTGATTTTTTTAGTTAGCTATTATTTTGTCATTGATATAAAGCAGGTCCATTTGATATTAAGACAGGTTGTCAGTTAATTATTTTCTAGACAGTTGTCAGAATATAATGTTTGGTAGCTTAACTCGTCGAGTACAGTCATTATAGACACAATTATAGAACAATAGGTTGCGGTCACCGGTGACCGCTTGGTGTTTGACAGTTTAAACTTAGTATGACAACTAAAAACAAAACTTATTTTTTTTTATAGTGGAAGGAAAGAGAAGCACTGGGCGAAAGTGTCATAGGTGCACAATTCGGGAGTACACTGGTATCAGTTCTGTGGAACAACTTTTCCGTCTAGCCAATGACAAGGACAAATTCTAAAAGCTGACAGCCAACCTTCCTTCAAAGTAATTCCAGAACATCCAACGAATGGCTATAGTATAAGACATATATTTATAAATATTTTAATTAAGTAACATCATTATAAAAGGAATTAAAATGAAATTAAACTTCAAAACAAATTAAAAAGTCATTGTGTGAAACTAAACTACATCTCATTCCAAATCTAAGAGTTGATTGATGAGTACCGAAGTGGTTTTATCGTTAAAGTACCGATTTATCAGCTACAAATTCAAAGTCATTTATGATAAAGAATTACTATACTTTATGATAACTGTTTGAGAAAAAACTTACCCTGGTTGAGGGGTCTGGGGTCTGGCAAAGAGCCTCGATCTCCTGTGGCGAAATTCCTTCATTGGCCATCGTTCTAGTAACAAAAAAAAACAATATTTACTTAGTTCTCATAAGAATCTAACCTTACATTTTTAACCTATGATTTCTAAGCACAGATAAAAAAAAATCTTATTTAGCAATACTTAAAAATAGCTAGGTAAATATTGTACCACTTACATTGTTCTTGTAAATATCGGATGTATATTTTTAATTTCGGCTAGATTTTGCCGAATTTTCGTGAAACCGACAGCTGAAGTCAACTGACAGCGAATAAATGACAACATGACAGCAGCGACACAGAAAAATATTTAAGTGTTTGACAGCTGATAGTCAGATAGGCAACCTACAGTAAAATTAGAGGATAAAATCGTAAATTATAAGAATTATAATAAATTAAACACGAATAACATTAATAGACTAGCGTTATTCATTTGAGAATTCGATATTACTACATTTAGGACTTTTACAGTTTCCACACAAATTGATAACCTTTGGTTTATTTATTCACGTTTCGTTACTTGCATCGCAATATGTTTTTGAGTCATTGTGTACTTCTAATAAGGATTTTACAATAACTATTGAATTTGATTGAATCAGAGTCACTATACATAGAATAACATTAACACGATTGATATTGAAATTTTATTTCAATCACTTATTGTTATTACAAAGGTAAAACTTCTCATATAAGTATTTTAGCTCTTCCATCCACACAATGTCTCTTTCTACAGACGTTTTTAAACATTCGAAAGCCGATACCATCCTTACACTTTTATCATCTAAAAATATATCTCCAACAACACTTAAATAGTCGCCTTCAACAAAATTAAATGGATTTTTCGCTATACGGTCCAACAAAGTAGACATAATGGGAACGTTATCATTGCCTGCTCTCGTCGCTTCAGAAAAACCATGATATAAATCTTTCAAAATGGCCGGTGATGTATTTATATTACTTTTTGTGCTATCATAATAAATTTGAACAGAGCCCGTAGCGTCGGAAAGTTCTATATTCGTTGTAATGTTTGTTGTATTGTAAATAGATGTAATTACACCGTGTATCATGATATTCTTAAATGTAAGCCCAAATATTTCGTAAATGTATTTGTTTTCTGTGTTTTTGGCGCGAAATAGGTCTTGTATATACAGTTTTAGAGGATATGGTTGGTAATTATTCATCATAATATGCGTAATAACTTTATACTGCTCACACTACACTAAATATTGTTATGTTTTAACTTTAAATCACCAGTTAAACTTGAAAAAGTAATTAAAAGCACAGCACACGTTTGTTTGTTTACAATTTTGACAGGAACTAAGCTGAATCTCATGTTTTGACAGCTGTGTGAAGCTGTCATCAATTTATTGATGTTTTATGAATCGTCAAGAAACTTCATTAAAAATCCGTTTTGGAGACTCGGTTGACAAAGAAAAAATAAAATATATCAAACATACGCAATAAATATTTTATTATTCGAAAACAAAAACTACTGTGCGACTACTATACATTAAAACGAAAGTATTACGATATGTCGAGCTCTCTTATTTAATTTTTTTCAATTTTAACTAATAACGTAAAAAAAATGGTTGCCTGTAAAGTCGTTTTTACGGGCGAAGATTTTACGTGACAACGTCTTTTTCTCGGTAGAATATTTATTGATATGAATATAATTAAATTGCACAATAGGAACAAGGAATTGAATGAACTAGTGCTGCGCGCGCGGCAGACCGATCATAGTTGAGTGGGAGAGAGACGCAAGGCATTCGGCGGGCCTCTCTCTCGTTCGGTGACTCATCGTAACGTTACCGAGCGTTACACTTTTTCATAAGTGACTCCCAGCCGCAACCTAATTTAAGACGTTGTCACGTCAATAATTATTGTTAACTTGGCTTAAAGTGACTTTAATTACTGTTATATTGTCAGTTCTTATAATCAATCATTGGACAAGAATCTAATCGGTGCTTTGTAACGGCCTATCGTCGATAAAACGGGAGGGATGACGTCAAAAGTCAATTAAATCTTCCATGGTGCCTCCTTGGCCAAGTGCCCCCTGAAATTAATTGGTTACAAGTACCTACTACCACCAATAGCACGGTTAATCGAAGATTGTTTGGTTCATTTTAAATCAAGTCAAAATACCAGTGTTTGAGAATTTCATCGTCCAAACAAATTCTGTACAAATTAATTGTTAATTTGCGGGTTATCCTGCAATTAGATGCCAATCCGTTTGTTAAGATCAGAACCAGTAATTAATGCTTCTGTTGTTGGTGTTAACAGGAAGAATGTCGTAATTCGTGAGATATTTGTACTTTTAGAATAAACCAAGGTGCTTTTTAAAATTTTGAATAATAATAGCTAAGTCGATATGGTCCAGATTCCCACTTCCTGCTAAGAAAATGATTAAGAATCTTTTTTTGCGTAAATAATTGCGTAAACTACGACGTAATTAATCCTAGTAACTCTAGCTGTGCAAATATGGGATGAAAAATCGAAAAACTCCAATTTATAATTTGCTGTAGGTACTGAACTAATCTAGGGCCGCTAGGCAGTCGAAGTTTTGACATTCGACTACAGTTACCATCAACTTTAGTTAATTAAATAATTGGTGCTCAGTCCATTAATTGACTTGTTTCTCAATGTAAACAAATTCAGTAGTTACGTACTCAACTTAATAGTTGTTACGAAAACAAAAGAGTTGGAGTCACCCCTAGATTAGGGTTGGCTCTTAAGGAAGGTAAATTTTATTTTTTATTTTTTTATAGGTAATTGTGTTGTTTGTAAGAATATGTATTCATTTGTTTTTTAACAATTACTGTACATTAAGTGTTTGGATTTGTAATAAATTAATTATTTGAAATTTTCTTTTTTATTTCTTATACCTACCTATTTGATTATTACATTTTAAAATACCTATTTAATTATAAAAAAATCATTTAAATAAATTATTATTATTTAGGTAAATACGACGGTAAACTTTTCCATGACTTGAAATCTTGTCGTGTTGTTTTTGGTTTGTGTATGACCTAACATATCTTATTGCAGCTAGTATTTTATAAAACATAAAATACCCGTCACTTAATACCACATAAAATACCACACACAAGCACGGTTGGTGCGGTGGCTGGGCAACCGGCTGCCGTGCAACGTGTCGCGGGTTCGATTCCCGCACGGAACAACACTTTGTGTGATCCACAAATTGTTGTTTCGGGTCTGGGTGTCATTGTGTATGTGAACTTGTATGTTTGTAAACGCACCCACGACACAGGAGAAAATCGTAGAGTAGGGCAACGATTTAAAAAAAAAAAACAATCTTCGCCCGAGCCCGTCACTACGTCCGCGTGGAATAGTTACAACTCTTCCCCCGTAATAGACAGCATGATAATATGTAGCCTATATTTTAAGCCAACCTGTTAAAATTTGAAGTAAATCCATGCAGCACTTTTTGAGTTCATCCCGGACATACATACGGACAAACAGACAAAAATTTTAAAAACCATCTTTTTGTTTTCGGTCTCGACTGTAGATCACGTCCTAAGCATTCTTTTAAAAATATATTCGATGTATAGTTTTCACTTTCCTATGATTTAAACAAAAACGGTAGCAGTTTTAGTGGAAAGAAATGGTCTAACTTACGTTTTTCTGGAGAAAAACGCACCAAATTACAACCAAAACAACAATAATCGTCCAAATTCATAAACTATCGAATTATAACCTCAAAATTATTACCTCAAAATTATAACCTCAAAATCCGACAGTACAAACCGTTGAAATGTTCAAACATACATGTATGACATTAGTTAGATATCAACCCTAAATAGAGGTGGCACCCGACGCGGCAATTATGCAAACTGCGCCCGTCTGTGCTCGCTTATTTGTAGAGTGTTTTCCCCACCGAATAGAGATGCGACATATCGATAGATAATTGAGACGTAATTGATTTTGGATTGTTTAACGCGGTTATGTTCGGTTGTTCGGCGTTTAACCGGGATGTCGGAATTGTAATTTTTAATCAAGTTTTGTTATTTCTGGTTGTAGGTAATTTTAAGTGGTGTGGATGTTTTTTGGTGTTATAGTTGTAAATGCGATTAAAAGCTTAAGATTTTTTGATTAAGTTCCAATTCAAATATAGGTAATCCTATAGCCTGAAATAGAATGACAATACATCTAGGTTCACCTTTAAGTACTTCTGATTGACTAACTGGCACACATGGTCAAATTACGATATTAATACAGCAGTCTTGCATCTACCGAATTTCAATCTTGACTTTGACCTGGACTTAAAACATCGATATTTCAAAAAAATAATATCGATAAATATTAAAAAATGTCCCAACACTAGCACTCTCATCATCGATGCGTCTATAGCGAGAGCGTCGCATCGGAATCGTCTGCTTTGCCCTTCACTACGGAGCTTATCGACAACCTTATTACAAAACGCTGTTTTTGTTTTACACGAAACTGCTTATTAAATACTTTAAGTTTTATCAGAAAATGTCCAATTTTTTACTTTGTTGTTTTTATGAACGTTTAGGAAGTTGAGAGGTCCTATAAACGTATAGTAGCGTATAATATTTTGTCATTTGTTAATTTTATACTACTTTTGCTTGATGACTACTGTTTGGCAAGTGGTCATGAATACAAATCCTAAGTATGAGATTTACTTGAGACCGACGTTTCAACTAACCTACCTAAAAGTTTACAAGAAGTCCAGGGTCGCCAGTATTCCAGAATCCTCAACAATAGCACAACTGGTGAATAATGACCGTACTGCTGATACACTTATGTCTATAGGTACAAAACTTTCAAAGATTGGCAGTCACGTTGTTATGATGTAATTATATACAGTCGAATGTCTGATAAGACATCTAAACCACGGAGTGAGCAGTTGTTTCTCAATAAACATTATCTTATACGCGAGGAAATTTTCCTATTTCTTTTCCCCCCATTTGGGGTAAGAGTTGGGGTTCTTAATCACCATTATATTACAGCACTGCCTACAGTATGCAAACATTTTGCCAGAAATAATAATTAGCTTTAATATAATAAAACAAAAGTACTAATTTCAGTAATGCACGCCACAACGAATTGGGGGATTAAGAAGGTCCACTTTGAAGGTTTAATATAACAGAGTATTAAGTAATAAAACATCACGGCTTGTCTTCCCGAAAGGGTAGGTATAGGTGCCCATTACGACACTTAAGGCACTGCAATGTAACACCCACTTCTCAATAGGGGGTGAACCTATTGCCATATACCGGTCACAATTCCAGACTCCGTACTAAACTGAGAATTATTTTTAAAAATCCAGTAATAACTGCTTTGCCCGACCCGGGAATCTAACCCGATACTCCTTGCCTTTTCACCAAAAATCGAACGGGGACGAAAAAAAAAACGGGAATACGCGTACGAAGTGGCAAGCAGAAAAGCTAGTAATTATTAAATGTTTTGTTTCTAAATCAAACGATTTCGTGAATCTTCTGTCTTATCCCTACAATGTTTCAAGTAGCAGTTACTGTGTTTTCCATTTAAGAAATGAACTGAATTGTGGCCGTTTTGTGTTTCATTGTTTTAAGAAGTGCTTGTTTCGTACCATTTTAGAAATCATCTGTGTTTCGGACTGTAATTATTGCATTAAGCACTGTTGCTGGACAATTCGGTCATAATCTCCAAAAAGACTTACTTCTAAACATCATGAGTTAAGTAAAAACTTGTAAAAGTGATGATTTGTATTAATGTCATGTTTTATAACTGATTAGTTTCGTATATAAGGGCTGAGACTATTTTTAAAATTCTGTCCTTATTTCAAAACTTGATTGGACAGACGACCTGATTAAGGTCACAGGGAACCGCTGAATGCAGGTCGCTTCAAACCGGCCTATATGCAAGTCATTGGAGGAGGCCTAAGTTCAGTAGTGGATGTCCTGTGGCTGATATGATGATGATGATTCCAAAACCTGTGCAATCCGACTTTAGTGGATTTTATAAAGAACGAAGTAAAGATTACCTTATTCAGCTCTTAAATTGTAAATCTGCACTAATATTATACAAAACCTAGTTTTCGGTTTCGCAAAAATTAGTATTATCACTTTATTACGCCCGGTGTTAAATTGCATTATACATACCCTACACGGGACTAATAACATAACGGGCGAAATTTGAATGTTACATTGTATTTATTAGCATCTTTACTTACCTCTTTCCATACTGAAAAAGGGTGATATGGTGTATGTATCTCTTTTAAGGACAAGCCCCAGGATCTACGGTGGATACAATCATGAAAACACCGAAACAC